GGATCGTAAGAAAGAGTCGTACAAAGAGGAAAGAAGTGGATTAGTAATAGTAAAAGTGAGTGTGTAATAAAAATCATCCTGTAAACGGTGTGCAGTGGTAGAAAGAAAACGATAATACAACTGAGCCTACTGAGTGGAAAAGAGAATATAAGAGGGAGAAAGAGAGATTCATGAATAATCGCTAACGAGTCAGTGGAGACGGTAAAGATGAGATGAAGAAGAAGTACTACGTGGTGCGTTGAAAGACTGGGGATGAAGACACCGCGTGAAAAGAGCATGAGAAGAGCAAATGAAATGAAGTAAACGATAAGGAGGACAATGATGGCTTTTTGGTCGAGACTGGCTTCTGGGCTGGCTGGGGATGAACACGGGGATTGTTTACGACAGTCGACAAAATCGAAGACAACCTCTTCAATTTGTCTTCAAGTTATCTTCTTCTGTGTTGGCGGTGGCGGGGCAGGTCGTCGCGTCTTGTACGGTCGCGGCGGCGGATTTATAGTCGGGTAGTGGAGGACCGTGGAGGAGGAGGAGGCACCGTTTGTAGCAGTACTACCGTTCTGCCNGTTGGCGGTGGCGGGGCAGGTCGTCGCGTCTTGTACGGTCGCGGCGGCGGATTTATAGTCGGGTAGTGGAGGACCGTGGAGGAGGAGGCACCGTTTGTAGCACCGTTCTGCCCCTCCTCCTGCTCGCCCATCTTCACCACGCCCTGGCCAAGTCGGGCAAAGTTGGCCTCCAGCTCCTCAATGAAGTCCTTGCACACTTTGGTCTGATATGCACTGGTATTCGGCTTGCCGCTCTCATCCAATGCTTGAGGACAATTCTGCTGGCTTGAATCGAAATCAGGAGGAGGTGGCGGTGGTGGCGGGAGAGCGTCTGCCGGCGGAAAGTAAGTGGGCGGCTGTGAGCTGCTGTACATGTCGCAGCCATTGTAGCCGTGGACCGGTCCGTTGGCCATGTTCCAGCTGGAGACGCTGGAGGAGCAGGGGCCGCCGAAGAAGTCGCCGCAGCACTGGCAACCGCCGCCGCCGCCAGCCTGGCCAGCCAAGTACGAGCTGTAGGAGGAGGAGGGAAGGAGCGGCTCCGGACCGGCGAAATCACAGGCATTGGAGCACACTGAGGAGTAGTAGCGGTGGTGAGCAGCAGGAGCACCCTTGATGGACTGCGTCTCCAGACAGCCCGACTCAGTGGGCGGACTGTAGTACTTGGAACCATTAGAGACCAGATTTTCACTTGGTTGACTGGAAGAAAATGCACCACCGTAGGCGGAGAAGAAGGTGCTGCTCATTGCTGACTGGTCGGCAAAGGGACGGCGAATGGGCTCAATCGACTCGGGCTTCACCAGCTGCGAGCACTGGAAGAACGGTCCACCACCACCACCACAACCACTTTCTGCAGTGAAGAACGACGTGCTGCTGCTGCTGTTGTTGTTGTTGTTGTTGGCTTCGGCTGCTGTTGGCACTAGGCGCTGCTCTGCTGNGTAGTACTTGGAACCATTAGAGACCAGATTTTCACTTGGTTGACTGGAAGAAAATGCACCACCGTAGGCGGAGAAGAAGGTGCTGCTCATTGCTGACTGGTCGGCAAAGGGACGGCGAATGGGCTCAATCGACTCGGGCTTCACCAGCTGCGAGCACTGGAAGAACGGTCCACCACCACCACCACAACCACTTTCTGCAGTGAAGAACGACGTGCTGCTGCTGCTGTTGTTGTTGTTGTTGTTGGCTTCGGCTGCTGTTGGCACTAGGCGCTGCTCTGCTGCTTCAGGCAGGTGAGGGTGAGGGACAACTAGGGGTGGATCAGGCTCTGGGTCGTCCATCTCAAAGAGATCTCGGGTAATCTTGCTGGTAGTGCTGCTGCCGATGCCTGGGACGACTGGTGGTGGAGGTCGCGGAGGTGGAACCGCCCCTACTAATGTTCCTGCAGCTGAAGTTGAGGCCACCACCGCTGGTGGGGCTGAAATCGGCTCTGAAGTGGAGTTCTCATGTTCAGGGGAGCCGTCAAAGACTGACTTGAACCCTTCTTCAAACTTGAGCCCCGCCAGTTCATTGTGCCGACTGAGAAAGTCCTTTGGCGGCTGGCCTTTGGCAGAGCCGGAGGAGACGTCACTGTTGAAGTCAATGAGAATGTCTTCCTCCTTAAAGTTGTTCTCAAATCCTAGATTTTCCTTCTCATCCAGCTCATCTAGGTTCACTATTTTGCTGATTTTCGCCTTCTTCTTCGATCTACTACTAGTTCCATTGAGGTGCTTCTTTTCGCCGCCTAAAAAGGGGAAAAGTAAACAAAGTGTAACCAAAGTACTGAAAATAACTTTTTCCTCCATTCTTACCTCTCGTCTCCAGGTCAGGCGTGCTGCCGCTGTTGTTGTTGTTCGAAGCCTCAAAGCCGAGCACATCAGGCGGCTCAATGGGGTGCTCCAGGTACATCTTCTCAATGAACTCCGGATTGCCCCAGGACTTCTTCCCCATCGGGTCCATGTGCCCGGTGTGGATGAAGCTGTTCTTCAGCGGCTTGCTGATGTCACCGTGGTGCAGCGTTCGCAGGTCTTTGGCAATGCACCGCGGGAAGAGGCCAATGTTGAAGGTGCGCTGGTTCTGGCCCTTCCACCAGTAGTTCTCGGAGAGGCCCTCCACCACTTCAATCTCATCGCCGGTGGCCACCTTCAGGTAGGTCTTCTCGGCGGAGTCCTTCTGCAAGAAGCTGGCAAATTTGGCAGAGCCACTCTCAAAGTCGCTTAAAGCTTTCAGACGAATGGGTTTGGTGTTCTTGAAGAAGGAAATCATCGACACAAAGGTGGGCCGCTCTTTGGGTTCGGGCTTCCAGCAGAGGTTCATCACCGAGTAGACTCGCTGAGAGCAGGCATTGGGCATTGGAAGGCGCTCCTGTTGTTCGAGCTTCTTGATAATCTGCGAGCCGTTCAGGCCTGCCCAGGGCTCCTGGCNGCTTTCAGACGAATGGGTTTGGTGTTCTTGAAGAAGGAAATCATCGACACAAAGGTGGGCCGCTCTTTGGGTTCGGGCTTCCAGCAGAGGTTCATCACCGAGTAGACTCGCTGAGAGCAGGCATTGGGCATTGGAAGGCGCTCCTGTTGTTCGAGCTTCTTGATAATCTGCGAGCCGTTCAGGCCTGCCCAGGGCTCCTGGCCAAAGGAAAAGATTTCCCATAGAGTGACGCCGTACATCCTGGAAAAAAAAGAGTTGGTTGAATCAGTTAAAATCACTACTAAATCAAAGGATTTTAGGTCATTTCATTTTATCAGCCATTTCATCGCAAGCCTTTTTATCGCAAGCCATTTCATCGCAAGCCTTTTCATCGCGAGCCTTTTCATCGCAAGCCGCTAAACTACTTTAATTAACGTTAAAGTTGCGATGAAAAGGTCGTGCGATGAAAAAGTTTACGATGAAATGACTGCAATGAAATTGCTTCAATGAAACGTCCGCCTACCAAAACACAGCCACAAAACTTACCAAGTGTCGCTGGCGTGGGAAAACTGGCGGAACTTGAGTGACTCGATTGCACACCAGGGAAAGGGAACCTTAACATTGTCCGACATTGTGTAGTAGTCCTGGTCGAACGGAACTGAACGCATCAGCCCAAAGTCGCCAATCTTAATGATGTTTGACTCGGTGATGAAGATGTTTCGCGTGGCCAGATCACGGTGGATGAGCCGCTTCGCCTCCAGGTACTCCATCCCGGTGGCGATCTGCACGGCGTAGTCGACTAGAGTGGACAGGGCAAGTCGCCCCAGCGTTTTGACCAGCTTCGAGCGGAGGGAGCCCTGTTCGGCGAGCTCGGTGACCATCATCATCGGCGAGGAGAGGCAAATGCCGTAGAGTTTGATCAGATTGGGGTGCTTCAGCTGGTGCATCGAGTTGACCTCCTTGGCGAAGTCCTCCAGCGCTCGCAGGATCACCTCCTGTTTGAGGATCTTCACCGCCACGTACTTGACGTTCTTATTCGCCTGCGTCCACTGGGCGCGCATCACCACGCCAAAGGAGCCGTCGCCGATTTTGTCCAGCAGCTTGATGTCCTTGTTGGAGATTAGACAGGTCAGGCCGGCCCCCTCAGAGCTGGCATCAGAGTTGGTGGTAGCGGTGGCCTCGACCATGAATCGACTATTGCCCACCGAGCGGTCCTCCTTCTCGGATAGAAAACCCTTGCCTGGCTTCACGGGGAGGATGATGTTGAGGAGGTTCTTCTTCCACTTGTTATTGCGCCGCTTGGCCGCCTCCAGCAGCCGTCGGGCCGCCGGAGCGCCCATGCCCACCTGCGGGTGGGTGAGATCCTCGAAGACGACATTCTCGAAGTGCTCCACCTTGGTCACGTCGATGGCCTTGATGGCGTGGTAGAAGTGCTCCAGCTGCACCTCCTTCAGCAGGCTGAACAGCGAGTTGGGGCCCTCGGCTTCGCTGGCGATGGCGGAGGCGGTGGCGGCAGTTGAAGTGGAGGCCATAGTGAAGGCGTCTATTTGGCGTTGGGGAGGAGGGGGGCGAGGATTTGGTAGCACCAGAAATTAGCACTGCTGCTGCTGAAGAGCTCAGCCGAGGCGCATCAGGGAAGCAGTGTTGATGGTAATTGTGGTGGTGGAGGCAGGTAGCAGCAGCGCGCCCACCTGGTTGCAGCGAGCATCGCACCAGCTTTTCGGTTTCTTTGGTAAGCTGCTGTACGGTAGCCTGGCTGGTAGGCCTACGCGTGAATGACTTCAGAAGGCGACTCGACTCGACTGTCGAGGAGTTCATTGATTTGACGTACGACGCGCGACGTCTCTTTCCACTCAAAACACATCTCTGACGGCCAGAGGCTGACGGCTATATCGGCGCAGGCGGGTCGTTCCCCCTCTTCTCGCTCGCAGAACGAGCGAGCGTGGCACAAAGCGAGACACTCATTCTCTCCGCTGCCGGTCTTTTTGATTGCCTTCAGTCTTCTTCAGCCATCCTCTATATTTCCCGGCCTGAATCTCTTTCTATCTCCCCTCTCGTCCGCCTACTTTATCTTGAACCAAAATGTCGAAAATGTACAGCAATCGAAACCGTAACCAGAAGCAGCATCAGCAGCAGCCTATCTCTGAGTCGCCCATCAAGGTCGTCCAGATTGATGGACTGGTATGTGTTTACTGAAGGAGGATTGTCAAAAATGCCCACATGTCTCACTAAGCAACAACTTTATTCCTCAGGTCATCTTGAAGATCATCAAGCACTGCCAGGAGGAGAACTGCTCTCCCGAGACGCAGGGGCAGCTGCTCGGTCTGGTGTACGATAACCGGCTGGAGATTACCAACTGCTTTCCGCTGCCGCGCTCCAACGAGGACGACGAGACGGAAGATAGTATGTTTTGAGTTTTTTTTGTACTGAAAGGAAGATTAACATTTTCTCTTTTGCCCCCAGCGATGGATTACCAGTACACGATGATCCGCCACTTGCGCAACGTCAACGTGGACTACCTGCAGATTGGCTGGTACCAGTGCAACCCCTATGGAAGTAATCTGAACAAGCTGGTCACCGTCGACTACCAGTACCAGTACCAGACGTCCTGCGACGAGGCGGTGGTCCTCTTCTTCGACCCGATTCGCACGCAGCGCGGCTTTCTCTCACTCAAGGCCTACCGCCTGACCAATCTGGCGATGTCCCTCTGCAAGGACGGCGAGTTCAAGCCGGAGACGCTGCGCCAGAGCAAGATGTCCTACGAGAAGTTCTTCGAGGAGATTCCCATCGTCATTCGCAACTCGCACCTGATCAAGGCGCTGCTGCTGGAGATCGAGCAGGACATGAGCATCGACGCCGGCCGGCAGATTCTCGACATTGGCGGCTTCTCCATCGTCGAGAAGAGCCTCCAGTCGCACATCAAGTCGGTGGAGGAGCTGAACAAGCAGACGTACACGCTGCGCAATGAGGTGATCAAGAAGCACGAGATTGCCCGGGAGAATCTGAACCGCGCCAACGCCAAGCTGCAGCCCCTGGGCGAGGAGGAGGTGGCCAAAATTATGAAGCCCTTCAAGCAGACGCCCATTCAGCGTCTGGAGAACATGCTCACCTACTCGCAGATTTCCAACTACAGCCAACAGTCGGCTCTAAACGCCACCACCAACATTGGCAAGCTCTTCATTGCCAAGGCGCTGCAGAACACCAACGCGCCCAGCAGCAGCACCACCACCACCACCAACTGAGCGGAAAAGTAAAAAAAGCCGGATATCTTTCCCATCCCATTCTCAAAGGTTAGGCTCTCTTTCTCTCTCTTTGCTTTTTGTATTTGCAACGCAACGTTTTAATTATCTTCAATTGCTATTATTATAAAAAATGCTAGGTGTGAAGAAGGAAAATAATTAACTTTAAATTACAAATAAATAAGTTGAAGCAAAAGTTCACAAGAAGGATCTGACTGCTTCGTTTGCGCTCGCGCGCGAGGGGAATGACTAGAGGTTGCCCATCCAAACTGCCGCTGCTGGTCAGCAGTAAATACTGAGTTAAGTACTGAAATGATGCTAAAAATGTGAAAATGTTTGTACAGAAGGTGGTGAAGGGAAGTGAGAAGAAAAAAGTTCACTTTTACAGATCAGGCATGGGAATTTTGTTGCTCTGAAAGCCCGCCTTGGAGAGCTGCGCCATCAGGCTGATGGGAGACGAGGAGGAGGAGGAGGAGGAGGATGACGAGGACGAGGCCGACGCCGACGCCTGGTACCACTTGACCGGACTAGAAAAGGAGTTGTTGATGTCGTTGTTGGAGTTGGAGTTGTGGTTGCAGTTACAGGAAGAGGAAGAGCTGGATATGAGGTCCATCTCCTCGCAGGAAGTGTTCGAAATGGTACTTCCACCACCTCCACCACCGCCACCACCACCACCGCCACCGTCCTCATCCNTGACCGGACTAGAAAAGGAGTTGTTGATGTCGTTGTTGGAGTTGGAGTTGGAGTTGGAGTTGTGGTTGCAGTTGCAGGAGAAGGAGGCGGAGGAGGAGGAGCTGGTCAGGAGGTCCATCTCTTCACAGGAAGTGTTCGAAATGGGATGATGGTGGTGATCACCACCGCCACCAACTCCACCACCACCACCGTCCTCATCCTCGTCGAACTCGACGTATCGAACCAGGCGATCGGGCAGCTCCAGCGACTGGATCGCCTGCTCGGAGCGGATGTTGGAGCGAATCACCTGCCGACAGCGCTCCTGCAGGTTGGAGAACTCCCGCTGGGCGAGGAGGAAGCAAAACTCGGTCTTGGCGGCGGTGGAGCTGACCGTCGGGTAGAGCGGCTCGGAGACGAGGTGCAGCCCGGTGAAGGCGACGCCCAGCGACTGGCCGTCCTTGAAGAAGGTCAGCGTGCCGTCGACGCCGTTGTAGAGGCAGCCGATGACGGTGCTGCGGTTCTCGCGGAAGGGCTTCGTGTAGACCTTCCACTTGCCGTTGTGCCAGATCAGGCCCTTGTGGGAGAGGCCCCAGCCCCACTCGTCCTCGCCGATCAGATTGGTGAAGCTGCCGTTCTGCAGGGCGGCAGAGCGGGTGGTCAGGCCGAACATCATCGAGGTGCCGAAGACGCGGTCTTTGACGAGGATCTGAAGGGGGAAAAAAAGAGAGGGAATGAGGGTTTTAGTTAAAAAGATAGGGGAAATATGGTGGTCAGGGTTTCAATTTTAGGTACCTCCCAGTAGCACTTGGAGCGCAGCCGATTGACCGGCTTATTGCCGCGAATGCCCGCCGTGCCGTTGCTCCACTTTNAGGCCCTTGTGGGAGAGGCCCCAGCCCCACTCGTCCTCGCCGATCAGATTGGTGAAGCTGCCGTTCTGCAGGGCGGCCGAGCGAGTGGTCAGGCCGAACATCATCGAGGTGCCGAAGACGCGGTCTTTGACGAGGATCTGCAGGGAAAAGAGTGGGAGAGTTTGAGTTGGGAAAATATAGGGGAAATATGGTGGTCAGGGTTTCAGTTTTAGGTACCTCCCAGTAGCACTTGGAGCGCAGCCGATTGACCGGCTTATTGCCGCGAATGCCCGCCGTGCCGTTGCTCCACTTCGGGTGGAAGACCACCCGGGCGCCCTTGCCGCTGACCACCGCCGCCTCTGGCTGGGCCCTTCTGCTCCACTTGAACTTGTCGGTGAAGCCGTGTATCGTCGGCCGGGGCAGCGATTTGACCTTCATGGTCGTGCCGCCGCCGCTGCTGCTGCCGCTGCCTCTGCCGAGGATGCTGATTTCCGTCTCCGTTTTGAAAGGGTGCTAAGTTTGAAAGCAGGGTTAAAGAGGAGGAAAAGTGTAGGTTTAGTGATCGTGGAGCGATTCTATGCTGTCGAGTGGTGAGAGAATCCAAAAGTGTGTGTGTGAATGTGTGTGTGCTGGCGTCCAGGGCGCACTGAGCAGCTGCAGAGGCTGCGGCATCATCGGACGCTCGACGAGTCCACCACCACCACCATCTCTAGTGCACTCTCTTGCACCGGCGTCGGCCTCCGCTTACCTTAGCCACGATCCATTGGCGCTCGTCGATGCTGGTCGCTGGTCGCTGGTTGCTGTCTGGCGCCGTCTGCCCTGTTCCGTTCCAATAGAGTCACTTGGAGAGGAGAGAAGTCTGCTTGAGAGTCTGCTTGTGCGGTAGTGACAGCCAGTCGAGAATGAGAAAGAGAGTGTCTGTCTGTCTGTGGCTTGTGTGCGCGTTTGGATCCACAATCCGAGAGCCTCAGAGTACCGTTCTCTCTCTCTCTCTCTCTCTCTCTCTCTCTCTCTCTCTCTCTCTCTCTTGTTGGACCAACGGTCGCTGCACTGGTGGTGCTAATGGTAGTACTGCTGGCACACGCCACCCATCTGTCATAGTTCACCCGAGAGAAGGATAGTGAGAGAGAAAGCCAGAGTGCTGCTGCACGCGAACTAGCTCTCACCGGCTTTGCTTTTGCACTGCAGCCGCAGCTTGCTCGCTGGGGTTCGCCCAATGGGCTCTTCGCTGTCAGACATCAGCAACAGCAACAGCAGCAGCAGCAGCAGTATTCGCTCCCTCATTCACTTTCTCTCCCGTTTGTTCCCGTTGCCAGGGTCAGAGGTCATCTGCAGTGAGAGCTGTGAGAGGGCAAGCAGGCTGGCTGTTGCAGCTGCAGCAGCCTTAGCTTTCAGTTGCGTAATGGCGCGCCTGTTTACATCCCCGAGATCGAAGTCGTCGTCTGCTTCTGCTGTTGTGGCTGAGCAGTGTTGCACGCGCGCACACCACCGATCAGGACCACTACCGACTCTTGATGAGGCGAGTAGCAATGGGCACTCTTCTGTGCCTTGCGGCCATCCTTCTTGTTCTCCTCCTTCGATCCACGAGTCCGGCTCGTGTGCTCTGAATGAGGACAGGAAAGGGTCCACCTCGTTTGCAGTGCCTCCATTGCAATCGTGCCTCCGTTGGGCTCGAGTGCCCATCTCCGAGTTCGGCGGATCTAACGGGCATCCACTCACTGCAGATGCCACTGCAACGGCGGAGGCGTTCGTGAGCAAAGAGAAGGCATTGGGTTACACCGAGACGTGTGCCGCCACAGCTGGAGCGACCACCATCAGAATATTTTTTTGGCGGTCAGCAAAATGCAAGGGATGAAGGTTCATCCATACGATCGACATTAAAACTGCCTTTCTGGTCGAACGGAGATGTAGATGAGGAGATTTCTATTTTCGTCCACCACAACCATTCTGCTCACAGGAGAAGATCTAGAAGCCGAAGAAGGCTCTTTATGGGCGAAACAAGCACCACGATGTTGGACAGCACAATTAGGAGAAACGAGAGTGTTAGTGTCGCCACGAGCCCTCGTTTCATTTTTTCAAGAAAATTTAATTTAGCGTTTATTTTGTTTATCAAATTGTTAAGCATTGACTGATGTCACATGGTTGATTGGCAATGAAACAAGATTCGGGGCACAACGAGCTTGCGAGTATGTAATTTATAGAATTGTAGCATAAATGTTAATGCAAAAAATCATATAGAATAAATCATAGGAAATTTTAAGAAATCTGTAACTGGTCATAATAATTAATTCTCTTATTCAAATAATTGGTGCTGATAGTGCTGATCATCGAAATCAACTGGTGCTGATAGTGCTGTTCATCGAATTCGACCGGTGCAGCAGTTTTTTAACAGCAGTTGTTAACCTATTAACTTTCTTCCCGCAACTTTTCCACTGCTTTTTACTGGGCATTTTCCCTTAACTGAGCGGCCTACGACTGGATTCTGCCGCTGCTGCCTGCATCGGATCAATTCTCCATCGAGCGCATGTCAGTTCAGCTGCTGTTGCCATTCAGTGGCCACTGTTAAAAGGATCCCCCCTCCACTGCTGAAGAGAGTGTGAGAGAGAGAGAGAGAGCAGGATACAATACAGCTGCTGAAGTTACGTTGTTTCCAACGGTCGTCAGGGTCGTCGCAGAGAGAGTCTCCCCCCCCCC